GGAACAGCAATCCGAGGAGGCTGCGCGGATAGCATTCCGCGCCATGAGCATGCCGTGCCCATCCGAGCTAGCACCCGATGAAGGACAGCCGTACCGCCTATCACTTTTGCATGCCTTGGCGACGGCATCCAATGACCCCGACCTCAAACTGGTGCCGCTGCTAGCAGAAGGCGTGCCAACGGGGGCTGTGTCGGAGTTGCCGCGCAGCATGCAGTGGCCGCCAAAATCCCAAGCAGACCTGCCTAGTGAGCTCACTGAGTGCATCGGCAACTGGAAAGCCGCTGAAGCGGAACCAGAAACAGTGTCCGCCTTGTTAGAAAAAGAAATTGCAAACGGATGGGTCATTCGTACCAGCATGTCCATCGAACAAGCCAGACAGCATTGGCACAAAGGCATAGCAGTCGGGAAGCTCAACGTCGTGCATGCTGAAGGCAAAGACCCACGACTAGTCTTAGACAGCACAGTGTGTGGGGTGAACCCCAAGTGCGCAATTCCCGAACGCATCAGCCTGCCAATGGCCTCAGACGTGCGCTTAGCATTCCTCCCCGAGGACACGCGCTCGTCCTTTGTGGGGGCAAGCTTTGATTTCAAAGCAGCGCATAAGCAGATCCAAGTGCACCCCAGTGAACATGGCCTGCTTCTGTTTCGGGTTGCCGATGTCCTGTACCATTATAGAGTGTGCCACTTCGGAGCACGCTTCTCCGCATACTGGTGGCAGCGCACCGGAGCATTCCTCCTGAGACTACTGCACGGCATTTTGGGACTGCACCCGCATCGCGCATGGTTGTTCGTAGATGACCTTTTAGCCGCACTGCATCGCAGTGACGCAGACGCGCAGCTGGCCCTCATGGTCATGTTTTTTGCAGCCATATCGGCCCCGATCTCCTGGAAGAAGGTTCAATTTCAGGACAACCTCACATGGTGTGGGTGGCGCATTAATTTCCTGCACGAGACCATCGAACTCACGCCGGAAAAACCATCAAATTGAAAGGACAGCTGCACGAGCTGCTCAAAGCAGGAAAGGTCAAGCGAAAACTTCTAGAGCAGGTTCTAGGCCTCCTCATTTGGGCTACCAGCCTGAGCCCCGAACTCAGATCCTGGCTAGCGCCATTGTACACAGACCTGCACTCGCCGCCGGGTTGCATGCTCTCTGTCCATGCGCGTTTGTGGCCATCTTTCCTTTCAGCATTAGACGCCAAAGCCGTACTCAGGTCAGCAGTGCACGGCATTTTTATGCCGCCAGGCTCTAAAGTCCTAGAGTTCCAAGGGGCATGCATTCGCACGCCAGCCGACCTGCCTCGCGTTGTGCCTAGTCACAAATCCGCTTGGGTGCGCATAGCGGACGCCTCCGCAGAGCACACTCGCCTGTCCAGGATGAGCAAACACAGCGTAGAATGGTTGCTGCAATGCTTCCATCTAGACCTCGCGTGCCCGCTGCGAAGCAAACCAATGCTGGCTTGCAAGGCAGCCGCGGATGCATGCGCCGAGGGCAGTATAGTGGGCATAGGCGGTTGGTTCATCTCCAGCAACTCCGTTGCGTGGTTCGCAGAGACGTGGCAATTCCAAGAAGTCCAGGAACAATGGCCATGCCTGACCAAGGAAGCCCAGCGTTACATCGCATGCTTCGAAACCTTGGCCCAACTAGCACTCATGCGTATCGCATGGACCTGCGAGGGACAAGGCGTGCATGGCATTTGCATGCCCACAGGGACAGACAACACAGCTTCCGAAGCCGGTGTTAATAAATTGTTCACCACTTCTTGGCCCCTACAAGTCTTTGTGCAACTTGTTGCTGCCTGGGCCCATAAGCACAAATGGTCCGTGATCGCGTCACACATCCCAGGGGAGCACAACATCTGGGCAGACCAGCTTAGCAGAGGTAATACCTCCGCATTCCAGGCTCGACCAGAAGCCAGAGTGCGCTTCAGGCCACATGATTTCTGGCCTCACGCATCAGCTCTCACGCTTCACCCTACGGACGCACCGTGGAGACCCGAGCACGTGGCTGCATCGCAAACGCACTAAAGAGGGGGTAAGGTGATTTGACCGTTTGCTTAGAACTCTAAAGTGGGGGTATTCCGACAGGCTCCGCATGAGATGCAGGAAGATGGAGTGGACGCGCATCGTCACTCCACCTGCATCTCAGAGCCTGCACTTCTAAGCAACGCTCAAGTAAAAAAGCGCGTATCGAGTTTGCTCCGGTCGGTTGCTTTTTTCCCTGCATGTCCCTTTAGGCTTGAAGCAGTGACCAAGATTCTAACGCTAGGGGTTTGTCTTTTCCCCTGTGTTTTAATCTTGGTTGAATCTTCGGCCGCGTGGCCATTTCTGCTTCAAGCCTTTTGGTAAGGGACATGCCTGGAGGGTTTGACCCCTCTTTCGTTCTTTTTTGAAGCCACCCTCCCACCCTTTCACGGCCCAGGTGGCATCCAGCTTCCACAAGGCCTGATTGAGGGGCGCATGCGCCCGCACGAATGGAAGCTTGTTAGCTTCCAACATTTCGTTGGCTTACTGCATCTCGCTGCTCCCGCAGGACCATTTCGAGCATACGCAGCAAGGCCCACGCTGTGCACGCAATCGCACATTAACGAATGCCATCGGCATTCTGTCCGGCCCGGACTGGCCCGCAGGAGGACGCATCCTCCCATGCACACCCATGCACGCATTGCATATATGTGCAACATACCTCTTTTTGTCCCACACCCCATGGGTAAAACACCCTGTGTGATGGTCGAACACGCAATGTTGACCTAAGGGGGTATTCCGACAGGCTCCGCATGAGATGCAGGAAGATGGAGTGGACGCGCATCGTCACTCCACCTGCATCTCAGAGCCTGCACTTCTAAGCAACGCTCAAGTAAAAAAGCGCGTATCGAGTTTGCTCCGGTCAGTTGCTTTTTTCCCTGCATGTCCCTTTAGGCTTGAAGCAGTGACCAAGATTCTAACCGGAACAACAACGGAAAGCGGGTCCACGAGGTCGAGAGACGCTGTCCTACATCGTGTGGCGTGGATGTCAAGAATGCCAAATATCGCGCTTGGTGTGACTACGGCAACGCGGCGTTTGCGTTGTGGATGGCGCTGGTTCCTGGGACAGGAAAGAGTCGGCGCCATTTTCAAGACCGACAATGGAGGCCTTGATCTTTAACCCAGGCAGTCTTTTTGCAAAACCCAAAGGTCTTGCCAAATTGTGCTCGGGGCTTATCACAGCTGCGACAGCTACGACTTGTGCTTGCACCAGGTGCGCGCGTTGTGCCTGACTGTTGTCCCGCCCAAGTTTGTTTGCATTCAGCTGTCACCTTGCCATCTCTACGGCTGACAGTTGTGTTCATTTTAGACTCCTTCCAGTGCCAATATTTGGCGCTGTCAAATGACGTGTTGACATGTCATGTTTTTTCTTCTTCTTCTTCTTTTCATTTCTTTTTTTTCCATACTCGGCGGCGATGCTCTGTTGTTGCCAACTCCTTGAGTGAACGCGGTGTCGTATAGCTTTCTATGGAACTCTTTTAGGATCTTCCCTTAAAGTCATGACGTCTGTGGTATGTTGTAGATTGCCAAGGTTTCCTCAACCTTATTGTTCGTTCTAAGAACTTCAGGTTTAGGCTCTTGTCTCCTTGCGCAATAAATCGTCATCGTAGTACAGTGACGATCCGGTTTGTCGGCTTCTTACTTTTTGCAAGCCCATTTACTTGCTCTTCTCATGAACCAAGGAAATGCTTGTTTTGCTTGCTTTGCGTTGTCTTTTAGTTTTGGTTTGTTTGGTGTTGTCTGTTTTGTTCTTCTTCTTGACGGATGCTGTTGAACGGCTGTGCGTACTATTTGGTTGATTGGGTGTACAGCTGGTGCGTGTGCAGTTCTTACCACGTGGCTGTGTGGAATGCTGAGCGGGTTGGTGCTAGTGTGTGTGCAGTTTTAAGCGGGTTGAGTTGAACAGGTGTGCGTAGGTATTGGGTGGCGTGTGCGCGGTCCTGAGCGAATTCAATTGAACGCAACTTACCATGTGGCTGGTGTGCGCAGTGTTGAGCGGGTTCAGTTGAACGGGCGTGCCTACCACGTGAGTGCAGTGCTAAGCGTGCTTACCATGTTGCTGCGTGTGTGCAGTGGTGCACCAAGGTACACAAATTGTCAAAATCCATGGGTCGTTATGGGCCTAAGCACTTGCGCAACCTGACGATGATAAATCAGTGAGTGTAGCGCTTTGTTTTTGCATGACGGTCTGTATCTGTTTAGGAGAGGTATCTTGCACGTGTGCGGAAAAAAACGGAATCATGCACCGGGCCATGTTTTGGCCCGCTTCTGTTCCCAGTTCTGGCACTTGCTGGCTTTTCCGTTTCTCTTCTTCACTCGCGTGTTATCTTTTCTTCAAGATCACGTGCAAGTGCATGCATTCTCGGAGCTGGCTCATTTAGTTCCGATTCCACGGACTTTTTTTTAACTTCCTTTGATCAACCCCCTACAAATGCACAAAAAACTGCGTTGCATGCGCGCTTCAACGTTGCTTGGTTCCAAGAAGTCCCACCGCACAACTGAGAAACGTGTATCAGCGTCATCCGCATTGTTGCTCACCATCTGGGAATCATGGCGCGCCACTCCCACTGGACCGAACACAACAAACAACAAACCTGACCCTACTGTGGCACATAAAGGAGTCTTTGGGCTTACCCGGCTTCATTCACGGATACTTATCAGCTTTACCCATATGGCTTATGCACGCCGAGATGGATTCAAACACATCTGGGCAAGTTTGATGAACGGCCTAAAGGCTTTTCTTGTGGTGCGCGCATGCTACTTCTCGCTGCTTATTCTATACTCATAGTCTACATTAAAGAGGAAAAGGTCAGAGAGCGAGGGCATCTTTCATCGCTGGAATCCAGGATTGTCGTGACGTTCCATGAATGTATTTCTGTGATTGGGCAAGAGACCCCGTTGTGCTGGGTCTCCCAAAAGCAACTGGAGGGTCGTTTGAAGATGTCTCCGAAAGCTCATGTGATTTGAATGTAGACCTTGGCTCCAGCTTTTGCGCCTCATCGTCTAGATGGGAAGCAAGAGCGGTGGAAAGACCAAAGGACAAGCAAGCCACCTGGCGGCACAAAGGGCTCAAAGGGCTCAGCTGTTTGGTAAAAAGTGCCTACCCTTGGGGGCGTAGGGAAACTAAAGGACTCAATCCAGGAGTTGTTGGGCATAAGCCATATCGCCAGCATCAATCCAAGGTTTGCGTCGTGGGGGTCCTTCCTTTTGCAGTGCAACTCGAGCTTTTTCCTCAAATTGCTCCGTTTGCCCAGGTGGAAAGTCGGGCAAAGGCAAAGGCGGCAAAGGCGGCAAAGGCAAGGCTGCGCCTTCGCTTGGCAAGTCAAGCGGGTGGCAGGGAAGCAGCTGGTCTGGCAGCCAGTGGACTGGAGGCCAGTCAAGCGGCCAATGGACCAGCAGCTCCTGGGGCGGTCAGTGGGGCGGCAAGGGCGGCAAGTCTCAGAACGGAGGCTGGGTGCTGTGAATAGCGATCTTCCATGGGCAGGATCCTTTGGCTGCCCTTGACAGACTATCCAAAGGGGATTTTCCAATTTGAGGCACAGGGTTCCTTAAGGTTGCAGAACCAAACCGGAACTTTGCATCTCTCGCATGACCTCTTCGCACAGCACGAACTATCCCGTGGAGCATCTTGCCCATCAGCAGCATGAACGCCCGGCTTCTTTGTAGTTTGCAGACCTTGGCGAAACCCCAACTTTAGCCGTTCCCGTCCTAACTGTCCCAGAAAAAGGGACTCAACCATTGTTCGAAAGATTCTTTTGGGATCGCCCCAACGACGCAAACCCCGCGATGGTTGAACTTCCCAAGAAGGGACAATGCCCAGAAATCCCAACATACCCTGGTCAATCGCCATGTGCCTCACTGGCCGAAGCATGTGGTGCAGTCTTCAGGCTGCGACTTCGCGGCTTTTCGATCCTCTCGGCTCGCCTGCGAGGTTCGAGCCAAGAGGCCCAGCGCTTCGTGAAGCAACTGCTGGACACCAGAGGCGCGGAAGATACCGGGCCCAGCTGGCAGAAGGCCGCTTGAAAATGGCCCCGAGAAGTAAGGGTGCTGGGCAGGGGTGTTGTTTTTGGCATCGTTCTGGGTGCTGGTTAGTGTGGTGCTGTTGGTTTGCAGTTGTTCCCAGATGGGGTTCTTAATTTTCCGGATGCTGAAAACTGTAAGGGGTTCTTATTTCTAAAGATGGGCGGGGCCTTGTTTGGGTTGCGCTCGTGCTGTGGTGGTTTCTGGGAGTGGCTGCTGTTGCGAGTGCTGCTCAGGGTGTTGTTTTGGTGCTGTTCAAGGTGCTGCTTGCGTGCTGAAGGTGCTGTGGTGGTTATTGGTGGTGCTTGCTTTGCGATGCTTGGTGCTGGTTCGGCTTGGCGTGCGTGCTGGTCAGGGTTCTTTTGTCTCCAATGCTATGTGGGGTCTCTTCTGGTGTACTTGTTGAGTCGTCGCGTTTGGCGGCGCGTAAGCAAGGAAAACATGACAAGGCTCCAGGCAGCGAACCAAAGCATTGTCCAGGTGCGGTGATGTTAAAATGAGGCAGCTCAGCGAGCCACCCAGAAACCGCCAAGGCACCTCAAAGCTTGTTGTTTGAATGAGACTAATAGACCCGTTGGGGGTTTCCGACACAGCTTCTTTGCAGGTGTTCTATGGCTTGCCGTGTCAACTGGCGCATCCTATGCAGTTCCAGCGAGCAAATGGTGCGTCGCAGTGGTTTTGTTGAACTTGGAGCGTGATGTTCCCATTTCTGGGTGCCAGGCAGTATGTCGGGCTTGGTGTCTGTCTTGAGCAATTCCTTTGTGCTTCAGGGCTGTAACGAAGGGCTGGTTTTCGCTGTATGTTTATAAGTGTGCGTGCGCGAACTTTACCACCGCTCTCCCACCATACGTTCCAGGTTCTGGGGTGTAAAGACGCTTTCCGTCTTTTTATGGCCTGAGGTTTTTGGAGCACGGTTGAGGACCATGGCTTGGTCAAATCAATCCGGCATGACGTAATCACGGAACCAGTCCACTCGAGAAGAAGTCAAACGGCGCCTGCGCGGATGGGACTTTTTCTGTTTTGCGAAGCACCGGAAGTCCCTCCCACTAACATGGCACCTGACAGGGGTTCCCTGCAAGAGAAATATGATCAGCATTTTTTCCATGTTAGTGGAAATCAAAGGGAACCCCAAAACAGCAAAACAATGAAAAGGGGAACTAATTCTGGGGAAGAAATGCTATGTTCACCAGAGGAAGAAGTCCCTCAGGAGATCGCCTGGAGCGGGAGATCCTGGGTGGCGGCACGCTCTGGCGCAGCTGCTGGGCGGACAGCTCCCAGGCGAGTCTCGGGAGACCATTTGAGGTTCGGTCAGACCAGATGAGTCCTATGGCTGTGGGTCAAAACAGTTTTGGATCCCATTTTGGGGTAGGTGAATTCACCACCCATTTTAGAACCTATTTTAGTGGTTGGATTGGGATGACTGGGGGTACGGGATTTTGACCCATGGCCATATGGGACAAAGGGGAACTGACTAAAGGTGCTAGGGGCAGATGGATCAGGGATTCCCCGGTTCGAGGAAATCAATCAGCCACAAGCCGCAATTAGGAAAAAAAGGCGTGGTAACGAGCTGCTGTTGATTCTTCATGGTTTTGGCTAGACCCTTTGGTCAATGCGACATACTATTATTGCACGTGGAACATAGACAACACACATGTGTTTCGATTTCCAACAGTCGCTCTTGCCTAGATCAACATGGTGCATTGTAAGTGGTTTGGCTTTCTATCGTATTGGAGACGGGGTGGTTGGACTTTGTGCTGCCATCCATTTTTGAGGGTGTTGCATTCATTATGCTCCCACCAACAAACGCGGAAGTGCGCAGCCGGACGTTAGAAGGCAATTTTCTGCTTCGGCTTTCTTCCGCCTTTGCGCCTGCATGCTGGGCTGGAGGGGTGAAAAGAGCAGCGTTTGTTGCCATTGCAGGGAATATGACTTGATTGCCGTTGTCGATCAACATCTGGCTGGGCAAACTAGCCATTACTTGGGATTGGCAAGCTTGTCATAAACCCAGCGAATTGTGACAACGATGGTTTCAGGTTCCTTTGTGAGAACTATGGCCATGGCGACCACAGATTCAGAGCTTTGACCATGGCGCATTCTGGTTAGTTTCGGAATGAGGGGTTGGTTTCCAGTTCTCTGATACCGAACCACACTTCAAATTTAAGAATTCGTCATGTCACAGAAGCGGAACGGCATGCACATAATCCTGTCTCTGAACGTTAGAAAGAGAAAGCAACAGGAATCCAAGCTAGAGAGTTGTCCTTTTTGGACATGGCGCATTGACTGATGAAAGTTTCTGTCTGCCAGGGCAAGAACCTGATGATGATCCTCGGGAAGCTGCCGGCGTCTGCCAACGTGCCGCCCCCGCCGGCGGCTGCCTGCCGCTCTCGCGCAAGAAGTGGCGAGTCGGGGAGTTGGGGAGTGAGGAAGGGGGAAAGAGGGAAGGAAGGAAGACCGAATGATTGCAAGGGGAAAACGGGGCATTTGGTGCTTTGTGGCAACTTACCAGGGTTTTGTGGTTGGATGTGGTTTACTCGCAATATTTAGGGCATCAACTGGAGGGCCTTAAGGAGTCGTCGTGTTTCTCTCGGCTTACTGAGGATTTTGTTCGAGCTGGAATAGCAGCTGAGTTGGAGCCACCCTCTTTTGAAGCTGTAGGTTCTCGTATGTTTCTCGATCCAGTTCTGTGTGTTCTGTTTTGGGCAGGTTGCCCTATGGCACCTCTGGACATCTCAGGAGCCGAAACTCCACTAAATCCACGTGCAATCTCTCCTAAATAGTTCCAACAATCCGATATCGATTGGCCTCCCCCTCACAGAAGCCGCCGTTTTTGATTATTCTCCTCTAGAAAAAAATGTGAGATCTTCCTCGAGGCTGTGGACGGCTTCGATGCTTCCAAAATTTGAGACTTAGCCAAAGGTTCCTATTCAGGGGTTCTTTATTCGTGTTCAAAAATCACATGCCCTTTTTCTGGAGAACATTCGTCCGCTGAATCTGACCTGGAATACGACCACTCGTTGTGATGGAGACCTGGGCATATCCGGGGATCTCCTCCCGGTACCGCGGCCCAGGTCAAGCGGCTGCGGAGCGCTTTTTGGAGCGCGAGAGAGGCCCGGCGGAGCCCGAGAGCGTTGGCGCGTTCTGCTTTACCTCTTGGTTTGGACACCAGCACCCCATGTGTAGAGAAACAGCAACCGGTAGCATCCCGACAAGTTTTACCATACAGCATGGATGCGCCTTTTCCTCGTGGACAGCAAAGTATGTGGAACATACGTGCGCAATGGTCCGCACGAAGTTGCTCGTTTACTTCTTACCTTGGTCCCACCTCGCATACGTCTGGACAAGATGCGAGGTCTCGAACCGAAGCTTGATTTCCAGGTCCTTCATAGCAAACCGGGAAGACCCGGTGCTGCGGGGACCGTCGGGTTGTCAACTGACAAATTGTAGCGACCTCACCGACCGGGTGGTTGCGACTTCTCTGACCCCCCTTGAGGGGTCCAGGTTTTAGTTCAGGTTGGCAGACATCATGCTTTACCCAGTGTGAACCTGAAGACATGACTCATGACCCTTCAAACATGTGGTCATATGGCTTGAAACTGCTCCTAAGTTCAGGCTCGCCGGAGCAAGCCGTAGCCGCCGCAGAGGCACGAGGGCATGGCTTTACCCAGTCGCTGCGAATCGAGCATTACGTGTTGAGGGTTGGTATCTTTGTTGAGGGTACCGCTTTCAGGTTGGCTTACAGGGAAGCCAAGAAACAAACTTCGGCATTTGTGGGTGCCCCTATTTTACACAGACCCATATTTAGTGACCCTTGAAACACAGAATCATAGAGGTCCCAAGAGTGATTCGCAACATGTGGTGAAGTCAGTGCTCTCGAGTTCTGTTTGCAACGCGATGCTTCAGATTTGCAACGTGATGCTTAAGATTTGGCAAGCTCACAAGTCACTGATCTTGAGTTCTCTTGCAACGTGATGCTTAAGACTTGATCAAACCTGCCTTCTCAAGTTTGTCACATGAGATTGTATTGTGTGTACAATCTGTGTAAGATACATATCTATTGCCAAAATGGTTGTCTGATTTTATATGTTTATGTATGAGATTAACCCGAAACACGGGTGACATGAGATGCGATGGGAAAGGTTGAGCCAGTTTTCCACCTTTTTCCCCCCGCCGAAGCTTTGGAGGTGGCCATCAACGTTGTGCAGCGCTTGCTGCTCTTCGAGTGGGAGGTGTCGGCAGAGGAGGCAAGTGTTGTGCCTGGGGAGCTCTTCTGGGCTTTCTTTTTCTTCGGAGGGCCGGAGGAAGAGACAATCAGGTGGCAGATGGCTGGCGCTTTGCCCATTTAGCTCCCAAGAGCAAGCATGGGACCTGACTTGATCTGACCCATTCCATTAAAACCATGTTTGACAAACCATGCACCGGCCTTTGCACGTCCAGCGCAGTCCAGTTGTCTGGAACCCCTGGTGCAGCTGTATCAGGGGCCAATCCAAACCTGTGGCTTCGGTTTTCACGGACCTCATGCCGTGTCCCCTATTCTCGAAGCCTCGAAAGGACCCTCTCGTTGAGGTCCAAAGCCTCCTGGGCGGAGGTTGGAATTTGATTGGATTGGCAAGGGTGTCCATGCCGCCCGGCTGAAGAGGCCAGAGATGCGCTGGAGGGGATCCTGGAGAAGGCGGGTTGGAGGTTAATGAACCTCTCAACCCTATTGTGTGGTGTTTTTAGATATACCATGATATACCCTGTCCACTCACCTGGAACTCATCAGAGGGTCCCTTTCAAGGCAAAAACACGTCTTCCAGGCCCCCTCTGTCAGGTTCCGTGTTCGTGAACAGGAGGGTAGCATGGTAGTTTTTCAGGTTCACAAATCACAGACCATGACCTAAGCATGTTGTTTGTTGTTGTGGCAAGAGGATCCCTCAGGACTGCTAGGGAAGCTGGTGAGGTCGGGAGAGCTAGTGGATCAGTTCAGTTTCAAGTTGAGGAAACTTGAAGCAACACATGGGAGGGTAGCATAGTTAACAGTATGAGATCGGGAGCCTGTTGCCTTTCCCCATCTTTCCGGATCGCATGCTTTCAGGAGAAGGAGTTTGGAGCCGATGTTGAATCCTAAGAATGGGAGCCGGAGATGGCAAGGGTTTGCTTGTGTTTGCTTGTGAAGAAGCACAAAGTGGGTGGCTAATATTGGGAGTGGTCACTTGCTCAAAACCGAATTACTATCATTAGGTGCGGCCTTTTCGTTTCTTGACTACAGTTTTGGGTAAATTCCAGCTTGTGATTCTGGCTGAAAAGGTGTTTCGAGTCTCGATTTTTTCGACCGGATTCCTTCCTCGCGACCTGCAGAAGGCCAATTGCATTGATTTCGGTAGCTTCAAGGTTGCTCATTGAAGCCAATGATGCCGGCCAGCTCGAAGAAGTTGATGGTTCTCAGGAATCAGGGAATGACCCCTATGAAGCATTCCTTTTGGTGTCCTTTAAGGGAATCCTCAGGTTCGTCCTCAAAACCCCTGTTGATTCCCTGAGAACCGATGTGATTCAGGTTTGTGAAAGCAACCCTTGGTGTTTCTCTGCGTGAGCATACTGTCTCTTTCAAGGCCAGCGGTTCGCGGCTGCTTGTTTGAGACAGTTTTAGTTCTTTGCAGGCGAAGGACTGCCTTCAACTGAAGCACAAGGACTGACGGCGGAACCAGGGGTACTGGGCGGAACAGCACGTGGCCAGCTTGGGATGTGCGAATGGAGGGGGATGACGGTATTTTGCTCTGGGTCAAACATCAGAGGTTTCAAAGCGCTTGCCAGACAAGCCCCCAACATGAAGATGAAATGCCTTGGCTTGCAGTCATCAATGGCTTCTCCTCCCAAGCACCTTTGCAAGCTTTTGCCTCACCGGCGCAGGACCACAAAGATGCATTGAAGAGGCCGGACTCGCGTCCTCAGCCGGTCGGGCCAAAGTACCACAAGGCCCCGCGTGCTTGATCTGCGTCTCAGTTGGAGGTGTTCCTTAGGCATTCCTTGTTTCTATACATTTTGCTCATATGGGGGCAACTCCTCTTTTCAAGGGCAACGCACACGCAAAAGGGAGGTTTCCCTGTTCATTTCCTTGAAACTGGGGGTACCAAGCTGTACATGGCGCATATACGGCGGGGCATATGCGAGTGTATATTTGGGGCGCGCACTTCATGCGCACGTGGCTATTTCCCTTGGCATTTGCAACATAGAACCTAAGAACTCCAGCTGTTCAGTTCCTTGGGGATGTCCCGAGAAGCTGGCGGCAGGAAACTCGGCGGCGGATGAAGCATGGCCACAGGTTCCAGGATACAGCCACTGGCATGTCCCCGGCAAACTACACGAGTAGACCATGTTGCCTCTCAGCAATGTGTTGCAATTGGCGTTTTACTCGATGTCCAATTCCAAGCGGCTTGACGGTTTCAGACAAGATCAGAAAGGAATCCAACTCAGAAGAGGCATGATCCTGATGTTTTTCTTTGTTGCATCACGTCCCATGGCGTGGCTTTCAAGATGTTGCTTTTCATCGGTGGTGGCTCACGGGGAGGGGGGGGCCAATCGACTGAAAGTGACACGTGGACCCTTGGTCTATGGAGGTAGCACGTGCTTCCTCCACATATCTTGCTTTCGTCCCTTTTAGGGGATAAGGGGGGATCAGGGCCCTGTGATATGTTTGCACGGGGAACCCAAAGAAAATTAATCCTTTGAGGGGCTTGTTGAGCAACCCGTTTGCCCTTCGCCCAAGTTCTGCGTACCTGTCAAACGCAAATATGCCGCATCTTTCGCCGGCATGCCCAAGGCATAATCGCTCTATTTCACCTTTCCGATACTTTGAACGCATCGCCTTGAAGGTAAATCTTAGAAGATCTCCTGCCGAGTCATGGCCCAATTTGCCCGAGGACCTTGGAAGTGAGGTGATCGCCGATGTTCATGGCGAGGCCAACATTGAGCAATAGCCAGACATCCACTCATCTTCCAAGGTATGCCCTAAGAAGGGATGCCTGGTTGAGCATAGAGGGCTGACAACCAGAGGCTTATCTCTTGAGTGGGGCATCTGGGCATCAGACGCCCCACTTCGATTCTTACGACTTTCGCATCGGGATGCGGGGCTGAGAGAGCAGCTTCCTTCGAGCCGCTTCCTTCCGGTTTTTCTCCGTAGGATCATGGAGCTCATCGACGAGCTGGAGAAGCCCTGGAAGATCAGGTGCAAGGCCGAGCCCGAGGACATGCCGGAGGACAGAGTCGACCCGTGGACCTATGGGGGGTGGTTCAGCAGCGCCCAAAACTGCCAGAAGGGCAGTTTAGTAGCTGGCGAAACTACCTGGTTGAACTGGTTCTGTAGCAAGGCCGATATGAACCTTGAATACCTGTTTGTGGAACCAACAGAGAATGTGCTTTGGGCTGCTGCTCATGTCCGTTCCCACCCCTGTGATGCGGGAATCGTTATCCCCTCCTCAGGAATTACACTGCCAGGCCAAAAGTTGCACCTCTTGGGCCCCTTGGGCCTTCTTAGAGAACACAACGCGTTCCCGCTAGAATCCTGCAAGTTGTTGCTTCCTTTGCGCGGTCGAATTTCTGCATTCCAGAGCCTTTGAAGTAAACACAGCTGATCGTTGACCATTCCACTCCTGCCACACAGAACGGAGTTTGCGTGATCCAAGCTTTTGCCCTGAAATAGTCCTTGAGAAGGCCGTTTCAACAAGTGGTTGTGTGGCCTGAGGGGGCACGATACCCTCTTCGCCTTGGTTTTTGAGAAGCAACCAAAACGAGAACCACCAAGTCTGGGGTCCCCCTATTTTGACACATACACATACTAATATGGAACCTGCGAGGGGTTGGCAGTTCAGTGGGTACGACGGGTACGATGGAATCAAGGGGTTCAAATCCCCAACTGCCCAATGGGTGCCCTCAGATGTCCGCAGGCCTTGGTTCTTTGGTTTGACCTTTGACCTTCAACTGGTGAACGTTGGCTAAAAGTGTTGATTGGCCAACCCACTCCAGCAACCTATTGCAGGCGGGCTTTGGTTGACCCAGCAATGGACCACCACACGTCGGGCTTTGAGCCAGTCAAAACCTGGGTAAAGGAAGAGTGCAGCCATAAGTAGGTTTGGACAACTGCCCTTTGGAGTCTCTACATGGGGGTTGGGCTAGACTCCTGTACTCGTTGCTCGTGCCTCATTTGGATTGTTCATTGATCATCGGAGATGTGCGGATTTCCGAAGGTCGATTCCTCGAGAGTCTTGCCTTTCCTATGGAGGTTTCCGACCTCTGTGTTTCTTCCAGCGATGTTTGAGGATCAACAGGTTTCAAGTGGAGAGAGATAAGGGGGCTACGCGGAATGGCCTACAAAAGGTCGGCAGTGAGGCAACCCACCAGCAATGGGAGATCTCTTGTGGGTAGGCTGCTTGGCAGGAGCCGGCTTCCTCGGTGCCGGGCACCGGCGCCGGCGGCACCTTTAGCCACCAGGGCTGGCGCAAGGCGTGCGTGGCCTGGCTGGCACGCACGGAGCTCTTCGCGTCCCCACTGCTGCCGAAGATGCGGGGTGGCACCAAGGCCAGGGAAGAACCCGAGTCTGGGGACCTGGAGTTTGGAGGATGGGGCTTAAAGGCCTGGAACCTTTATGAGGTTGCAGAAAGCACCTTAAATCTGGGCATGGCAGGTCTCTCTAAAGGGATCCCAAGGCTTACGAGAGAGGTGGATGACCATTTGGCAAGCATCGTGTGAGAATAGAATGGCACCTTACATGAAGTCAAAGACTGACTGTAAGGACCCATGACCGTGCTGCTGTTGTGGCTGCAACAATCTCAGGGTCATGCATTAAACATGTATATTAATGTCCTTTCTTTACGAAACTTTTTGGGTCTTTCAAGCCTCATTGGGCATACATGTGTTCACACGCAGGTGGGAGGAGCATGGATGGGATCAGACACAGATTTGGCCAGGTGCAGGATCTTGTTGCTCTTATTCTGTTTCCTGTTGGTTTCCACTTGAATGAGACAGGTTTGGAGGGATGTGGAGTGCATGGAAGTTGGCATTCTGAGAGAATGCGGCATATTGGGGGGTGTAGCGTCCATTCCAAGTCGTCTCTTTGACTGACATGACCTTGACCACGAAAGGAAAGGTGGACTTGGCTGAGGATTTGATTCAACATGATGCTTCAAAGGCTTGTCAAGTAACTCATTTTGCGGGTAAGCTCCGTTGCAGGAACGAGCTGGACATGGATGCGGTGGAATTTGTCTTTCAAGTTTGCTGACCAGCCCAGGCTCCCTTTTTGTTGAGGAAACCGGACAAACCCGAGCCAACCTGGGCTTAAGTCTACTTTGTGATAAGATGGAGCCCGGGCAAGGAGGGGCACAAAGAGAACAGCTTCCCACAAGCACAGATCTTGATGTATTACAGCCTTGTGTCTGAAAAAGCAGCCAAAAGGAATCGAAACCAATCCACGAGCGGGGTGGATTTGTACACGAAGTGTTTGTAAGGTGCTTGTGACGTTCGCTTGTAATGATCTTGCTGTGTGTACGACGTGCGCGCTGAGTTCCTGACTAGGTTGATGTGTTTGTAAGGTGCCGGCGAAGTCTTGTGAATGTCGCAAACTGCATCCGCTTGAGATTTCCAGAGTCCCTGTGATTTCAGCTCGCCTTTTTCGCAGGTCAAAGGTGTGGACCCCAGAGGCATCTACGAGCCTCGAGAAGCAAGCAGCTGAGGGGAGGCCCAACGATTGCGGAACTATCTCGGGTACCCTCCTCCTGACCTTGGAATGACTGGAGGCCCCAAGACATTTTTCCTGGCAAAGGGCCCTTCCGGCAGTTCCATGGCTGGGAGGGTAGACTCGTTGCCTTTCCTTTTGAGCGTGGCTTGGCCTTGCCATGCTCATGCACCAGCTTAGTGGCGATTGACAACCAAGACCAGTCGACTGCTTGTTTCCGAGATCAAATTAGTGTGGCAACAGTGCTTAGACGGGCCTGAGCACGGTCCTGGGGGCGGAAGCACGCGACTCTCTGCGTCTTTGTGTCTACCGGTCTGTGACTTTCTCCGTTTGTCTCTGTGTTTGTGTATGTGTCGGTGTTTTCGAGGCTCTGTCTGCATCTCTTTCTCTGTGAGTGCGTCTGTGTTTGTGCACGCCTACGTGTGTATGACCGGTCGAAAATCGTAGTCGCATGAAGTACTTATCTGGATGATGACGATGAAGCCTGAGAGGTTCTGATGGACCCGCCCTTGGGGTGACCAAGGAACTCGGAACAAACTTGTTGGCTTTGAAGGAACACGGCCGGTAGGTACATTGTTCTCAGCGTGCGGGGCTATTGAGAATTGCTGTCAGTGTGCTCCCAATTATCATGACACTCTTTCGCAGTCACCTTCCCAAAGAACAAGACAGTCGAATTATTTTGGCCCTACGAGTTTCTCTCTCATCTTTTGTGTAGGTTGTAGGGTTCTTTCTGATGGGGGTTCCACTGGTTGTTGTCCTCTTCTTTTTGCGTAGGGCAACGTGTGAGGACTCCCCGGACCAATACATGGACACCATCCAGCAGCTCATGGTCGCCATGACCTTCAGCGAGGGCAACGCCTGCATCTCCCCCCGGTGCTGGCACAGGGATGGCGGCAAGGACACCCGAAAGCCCCGAAAGCTCCTAACTTGGGATTTGCCCCTGCGTTGCGAGGGCTCGCGTTTTGCCTTGAAAGGAGCCCAAACAAAAATCGCGTTGCGAGTGGATGCTTGTTTTTTCCCTTGAACAAAAAGAAGACACCCCCCTTGGAAGGTCTTAGATTGGCAGAAGGAGAGCGATGTTTTTCAGGCCAAGGAGACTGGCAACCGCTGAAGGAATCTAGGTGGGCTCCTGAGAGAACCAGCAAACTTCCCTCAGAAGTAGTCCCCCCCTTTTTTTCTTCTCCGGATTTTTTTGGGTCCCCTTTGTTTTCAAAACGAACCAAGCAACACACATATTTTATTGCTGGGGTCCTAGTTCCAGCCAAGCAAAAACATGGCAGATCAAGTTTTGGAAGAGAGAGAGAGAGAGAGGCACTTCTTTCCCTAGCGGGCTCTGAAGGTTGATTTTGCAGGTGAACTTTGCTCTAGGTTCTACGGTTCTTTTTGGATAGGTGGCTTGGGATCAACAGCAGCAATTCAGGCAATTGGTGTTTGAGGCAGCTTTCCATAGGTGCTATGTGGGAGGAAAGATAAAGGGAAAGGCAAGCATGACATGTATAGGTCACTCCAACATGTGTATGTATGTTGAGATCAGATGTATTCTGAATCAATGTCAGGCTTAGCTTGCCCTTTCAACTTTTCGCCCTTCTGGCCTTCCTCCATTTTTCGTTTCAACTAGCGCCAGGTAAACTTTTTGCAGTGGTCGAAGAGTCTCAGTCCCGGTCAAGGTGGAGGGAAAAATTTTGTTGCATGGAAGCCAAAAGGACATCTGCCATGTTCTGCCTCATCCACCCAACTTTCAATCTTTCGACTTTTACTTGTCTTCCGTTGGTGGCTAGAACAGAAACCATCGGGTCAAAAGCAGTCACCCCCCAAAAAAGAGAAAAGAAAGAAAGAAAGAAAGAAAGAAAGAAAGAAAGAAAGAAAGAAAGAATCAAAGAAAGAAAGAAAGAAAGAAAGACAGAAAGACAGAAAGAAAGAAAGAAAGAAAGAAAGAAAGAAAGAAAGAAAGAAAGAAAGAAAGAAAGAAAGAACATCAACTAAAAGACAAGAAACAACAACGAAGTTTTAGCGCTTTCGCTTCTCGCGCTTCAGGAGTGCGGCGCCACTCTGTGGCCTGTCCCAGAAGGCCAGGGCTTGCACTGCCGGAGCCGCGCCACGGAAGCAAAGGAAGGGCCACGTAAAAGGGTTCACTGAGTGAAGGTGGGGGTGGCTCTACGCCTTGGCAAATTCAATAGTTGGTGTCATGATTATTATTTTTTGGTTTCCTGAATACCGATGACAAGGGGAGCCCGCGTGAGCCAAATCAGTCACACATGATTCTCGTGTCGCTTTCTTCGGCGAAAACCCCCTTCGCATCATTTCGGCCCTTGTGCCCGTGCCGGGGTTGGCCCAAGTAAGCCCTTACCTCAGGTCGTATTAAGGGCTTGTTTCGGCTCCCTCCCCCCCCCCGCTGGCCCCATGACACATTGCTTCTTGTTTGAGAACTAATTGGATGTTTTGCATTCTTTACTGTCATGGGTGGATAGATGTTATTTCTGATCGATCTGTTCATGGGGGCACTGCCTGCCAGTGAATCGGCGATTTGTGCAAGTCTTTTTTCGCACCTGCTTTGTTGAACTGGATTTAGACTCCGGCGTTCAAAATCCTTGAACAGGTTTGCGCAGCATAAGGAGGGTATCATACGTTTCAATTTGCTGAAATGACCATGTTTGATCATCGTTTTTAAGAGAGGAATGGTCATGACAGGTAAATATTCATCTTTTTTCAAGTTACTCCACAAGCAACTGGAGGTTCCTGTCGCGGCTTGGCCGTCGTCATTGGTCATGGGTTAAGAGGGGATGATCCTTGAGTCTTGCATCAGTGCATCGATGAGTTTAGGCGCCTTTTCTTCGGACACGCCCGCATACTCCCACGGACCATGCAAGCAGAAGCTCTTTTGCTTCAAAAGCCATCCAAATGGCAGTGGTTTGCATTCATTTGTCAAGCGGTCCGGGGATTGGTGTCATTCCGCACACACACACAATGATTTCATTCGGGGCTTGGGCTTTGAGTTGCTAGTAGGACATATGACATATGCTTGATTGGTTAAAACCAGTGGATCCTTCGTCCCGGTTTGGAATACGGCACACATTTCCTGATTAATTTCCTAAGGATGGTGATTCTTTGAGTCGCGCTGGTTCCCCTTGAGACAGCATGATCATTTTGTTGGCACCTTTGGGGCCCAAGAGACAGAGAGTCTCCAACAGTAACATCTATCGGCTGGACAGCAGCACGACGTTCCTTGTCGACAAAGAAACATGTTCTCATGTCTTCGCCAACTGATCAACAGGCTCATCAGATTATTACTTGCTCAACCTTGCAGTTCTTCATGTGCTGGTGCAGCCTCAACGGCTGTTGGTGCATTTGGCGCGCGTGTTGTTTTTCCTTTCGGATCAAAGCCGGTTCTGCTGGCAAAGGCAAGTCCAGGCCTCGCAGGTTTTTGGAGAAGTCTGAGTCGTGAGCAATGGGAAATCAGGATGCATCCATCCTGGTCCAACCCAGAATCCCCTTGAAGCGTATCATTTTGCCTCCAGAAACGTTGGGTTCTGCCTGAAAGCCCCAGCTTCGCGATCCGCGATGCGCGATCCGTCCGAGGGCATTGCCACGGGGCGGTTGTCCTGGCCTGCGGCAACCGAAACCACCTCTCTGGGCTCTGCAAGAAGTGCGCCCGCGAGGCGCTTGCGGCTGGCGGGCAGCTTGCGTTTTTTTTTTTGACTCTTGGGTTGATATACGGAGGAAATCAGAAGGACTGCCACCCTTGTTTGGGTCCTACACAAACTGTAAGCTGGACCCCAAACCTCCAACTGGGTGGCTTTTTGAGAAGAGGACTCCGAGGTTGGTTTGGGCTGGTTTCATTTAGTTAGGTGTCTTGGGGTCCCAATGCGGGAAGTGAACCTGCACATGGGTTGGTTTCATGGCGTGCTTCGCAAATCGGCCATGGCCTCATTTTGTAGCTTCGACGCAACGAGTTGAAGCAGTTGGTTGCGTTAAAGACTTGAAGCTGTTGGACCACGATGCGGTACGATCTGGTGCACTGGGTCTTTAGTTGTGATTCGCCAGTGCTCTGGAAAGGAAAGTAATATGGCTGGGCCGGCTGGGGGTCAAAACCAATGGTACCATTTTGGGGTAGGTGCACCACCCATTTTAGTCTTTTTTAGTGGGGATTGGGATGTTCACTGGGGGTACGGGATTTTGACCAAGCGGCCACCTGGCACCCAACAAGTCCTTTTACAAATGGAGATTACTCCCTGAATATCTCTGAACATCTTTGGACATTGAGAAGTCAGGGCTCTGATTGGAAGGTGTTGGCCTCAAAAGTGCCCGTTTCAGCCTCCAACATTCTCGGGGCTCTCAAAACTTTTGGGGGTTCCGCGATTTGGATGCCTCGTATCATGGACTTGCCGTTTGCGGCATTTTAAGCACCTTTTGTTTTTTGGATACAGCAAGTCCTTCTCTAGTCAAGGGTTGACCTCATACTCGAACAAGCCGGTACAAGTAGTTGGAGATATTGTTATTGTCTTTTTTGTTTCACGTTTGACTTTTGGATCATAAGCGGCATACTCAGGCTTGCCCACCTTGAAGACGAGGGACCTTGGCAATTGGTGAAGCATGGAACTGATCAGGCCAAATCCTCCCGTGTTGGAAGCTTCGTGTGGCACCACACCCAGACCGAGCATACGCATTGGACCCAAGCACGTACCCGACAGGCCACCATGAACGCGGTGGGCCGGGCAGGCGGGCGCGATAGCGGAGCACCTGGCAGCAGATTCACATGAGTCGCTGACAATACAAAACATATCGGTCGTTTTCTGACTATATGGGAGGAGAAGGACATATGAATCCAATGGCCTGTATTATGATGCTCAGGACTGGCTGATTCTTTGGCATAATTTTGTTAGTTGGAGGCACAGGCAGCCAACATTTCCTCAGCCCGCAAATTTTGCCCAGAGCTCACATCAGCAACGTTCAATTTTTGCAGTAATCCATGGTGGCAATGGGGATGACACGCGGGCAACAACTCACCAAACACCATTGGTACATGAGTGTGCTCACTGTCTGAATCCCAAAAATGGGTGGTGAGGATGTGCTGCTTCCAAAAATGATGCTTCTCTCATTTGATAATGCAAGAATTGGGCCGAACAATGGCTGACTTTTTTCAGGCTGTGATGGTGGTGATGCTCGTGATGCTGATGTCGGCCTGGGAAGGGCAAGGATGGAATTTTCTCACCCGATTTGGCTTGTTTGGCAAGGCCTGAGGTAAGCTACATGTGCGCGAATAGTGTGTGTTTTCAGGTACTTGCTTTGTGCTTTGCCACGGGGTACGAGTTCAGTGATAGTAGGTGTACGAAGTACAGCAGCTGTGCCAGCTGCCGGGCTATTGGCCTGCCTAGACCCCGCTAGCCCGTCTTTGGATGCTGCGATTGCAAAGGCAAAACAAATGATATGTGCATTGTTAACTCCTAGTTCCTCAACGCAGCCCGAGGAATGCGGCAGGAGGCTTGCACTGTGTCGGCAGGTACTGTGCACATGTTTACTTTGTGCAAGGTGTGAATGGCAGTGCCTAAGGGGACAGTCGGACCCTCAGACCCCACAAAAGTCTCTCAGAACCTTTTCATGACGACGGCTTCCAAGGTCACCCTTTCCTGGGAGGTTGGGGGCCTGGGTTTCTTCCCCATTTCTCATCAGGCCACAAGGCCTCCACCCACATCTACGATGCCTGCTTGACGCACATCGGCGCCGACGGCAGGCAGGGAGCACTCCCGTGGCAAATCCCCTGCAGTAACGAGCGGAATGATTCACAGGGCTCTGAATTATGCCCTGTTGAAGTGTTGAGCAAGTGTAATGTTGACCCCGGATGAATAAACTCATGTTTATTAATATGGGGGTGTTCTCCTCTAAAAGTGATAAATCCCCACAAAAACCGGGGACACCCCATATTAATAAACAGGGGCTTATTAATCCGGAACATTAGCTTTTCAAGTTGCGACTGGGAGCATGTTGTGTGGAAGCGATTCAGCCGCATTTGGGTTGAACGGGAAGATCTCCTTCGCGGGAGCATTGACTGTCGGTCTGAAGCCACCAAAATTCAGGCCTTTCACGGGCCAATCCAGAGAAAGCCGGCGATCAATTTGCGGGTGGAAGTTGCCTGGCTGAGCAAATCCTGGCCTTCAGCCAAAACGTACATGATCGGCACTGTTTCCGCCGGTCTCTGAATGTCTATATTCGATGGATTCCTTTACAGGCAGCAAATGACCGGCAGATCCCAGACTTCTCACTCGGCCAGGCTCTATTTCCAGGGAGTCCAGAGCCGGAACCCCCCGCAGATGGCGATCCACTGGCGCACCACCAAGCGGCTGCAGAGCCCGAACCTGGTGGCCCTGGTGAAGCTGTCTGAGCCAGGCAGCGGGGAGGGACCAAGAATGTGCCCAACCATGTCAAGAGTTTGACATTTGGGTTGTCCCTTTTAGTTTTGCGACAATAAGTTTGACATGCACTTGAGAAGGACAGGAGATCAAAGGCCAAGGAAACGAGCAGTACATCCAATCCATGACTATGCTTTGATCAGAAGCAGGATGAGTCTCCCCCCAAAAAAATGAGGACTACTACAAGGACGTCCACTTCAGTGGTAGAAGGCGTTTTGACAATAGTGACACGGTTTCTCAACATTTGGGATCCAACAATTGGATGGTTGACCAACAATTTTCGGGACATCCAATATCCATTGGGAGAAATACCCACTGCAATTTTGGGATAGATCGGGACCTTGGGCTTAGGTGCAGTCTGAGCCAGGCGCTGGGCTTCGTTTGGAGGACGCCCTTTACTGGGGGGAGATCACCTCGCACCCCCACGTGGGCGGCAAGCCCTCGGACGAGGCGAGAAGGCACGAAGCCGGGCAGCTGGCGGTGAACATGGCGCCCTGTGGAAAAGCCGGGCGTTGGGCGTTTGGGGAGGATGGGGAGGATGGGGTGTTTTGTGTGCTTGGGATGTGTGTGTGTGTGTTTTTGGATGGGTGGGTGGGTGGGTGGGGGCAGGCAGGGCGCTGTTGGGGTGGGTGGGTGGGTGGGTGGGTGGGTGGGTGGGTGGGTGGGTGGGTGGGTGGGTGGGTGGGTGGGTGGGTGGGTGGGTGGGTGGGTGGGTGGGTGGGTGGGTGGGTGGGTGGGTGGGTGTGCGGAGTGACAGAATGCCCTGTCACCACTATGAGTAGCAGGGGGCACGGCGCCTGATTTCCAAGCCGTGCCAACGAAGCTACGGAAATCGGGTGGAGGAGATGCTGGACGCAGCATCTTGTACCTGCATCAGTGATTCTGAATGTCTATTTGGCCCCCTTGGTTGCGGCGCTGTTTGTGCTTCTTGTTCTTTCCAGTAACGTTTTCGTTTCTAAAGTGAAGCCAAGTGACTTGCGAGCAGAACTCAGCCGAGACTCATCAGTTGTACTCGAGACTCATCAGTTGTACTCGAAAGATTAGCACCCTCCATCTGGAGTTTAAGTGTGTACACCCCATTCATGGGGAATCCTCGGGTGTACCCATTGTGTGACCCCGGGCCGGCTTTGTCGGAAAATTTGACCTCAACGTTCTTATCATAGACCAGCGGAATTTCACATTTAACCAGGAACGAGGTTTCACTAAAGGGAAGACAGCCGTCAGATCATAGAGACGTCTCACCATAGCTGCTGATGGCTGCTGACTTGAACTTGCATTGACTTGCATTTTTTCGGATTCGTTTCTCTCATCATTGCTGCTGATGGCCGCTGACTTGAACTTGCATTGACTTGCATTTTGTCGGATTTGTTTCTCTCACCATTGCTGCTGATGGCCGCTGACTTGAACTTGCATTGACTTGCATTTTGTCGGATTCGTTTCTCTCAAGATTGAGGTGTGACGGTTGTGAGTTGTTTGCGCCACCATGTCTCGACGTGATGATCGTGACAGATCCAGGACTCGGCGCAGACGTGATCGGAGTCCTTCCCCTCAAGCTCGTAAAGCACGCCGACGCGAACACAATGACAACCAGGTCTCGGAGGGCATGGATTGGAACAACCTGGTATCCTGGCAACATAATTCTGGCTACAACTCCGCCAACAATTTCCCGATGATGCCCACCAATTTTCAATCGACTCATAGTCCCACACAGCAACTCCAACATCCTGTGCTCAACTACATGATGCCGATATCTCCAGACCCCACGCCCACGAAGTTCATGCCACCCGTGATGCCACCACCGGTCACTACCCCGCAACCTGCTGGACCTCCCGCGGCTCTACCGGTTCGTCCTCAGACAGCCTGGCTTACACCATCACCTGACTGGGCACCAGGAGAAGGCATGTTTGATGTCAATCAGCTCTACAACTTCAGCCTGCCCATGACCGTTGCCAACACTCCGCATGGCAACCAGCGCGACATGTCAGGCATGGATATTCGTGACGTTCGCCTGGTTCAGGTTATTCACGGGGGCCTCACCAACTGGCTGCTCCGACCGTTTGCTCACGGCAGATTCGTGACGTGGGAAGGTTTTCGCACTCGCACCGAGGCCTTGCTTTGGAGTACCTGTTCCAAGCTACTACGACGATCACAGTCGATCAACCTGCTCACCCTGGAAAAGGACCTTGCCAGTTCACTGGGTCTCAACATCGATGACTTCAATCAGCGGATCAAGGTTCATGACCATTTAGCCAGCTTGGTACTTCAATTTCTTCAGCAACATCACGCCTCTCTCACGCCTTCCACCCAGACTGATGACATGGTCAAGAAGTACAATGATCTAAACCGTGCGCATGAACTACTCCAGGCTCAGTTTTCAGCATCGCTTCGCGCTTCGACCTCCCCCACGATGGCAAGCCAGAAAGATGATGCAGAGTTGGTCACACCACCACCGGTCAACCACACCCAATCCTCGTCGCCGGCCAGCTCACTCCCTACGGCCAGTGCAGCAGCCCTTGACGGCAAGTCGTTTGATAGCGCGGTGCAGCCCCGGATCATTCAGTCTCTTCACGGAGTGTCCTCACCGCCGTCCAAGCCGGCGTCGTCACAATTGCTCACCATGCACAGCACGCCGGAAGAAGTGGTCAAGTACTACACATGGACCAGTGACCAGCCGCGCCTGTATCTCAAGCAATCGCCCTCAACCACAACTTTGACGTCACTGGTCAAGTGGGCCAATCACCCGTCCAGGCTCAACGGCAACAAGTCATTGGATTCCATGGCGACGCAGCTCCTTCAGGCGCGTCAACGCATGCCGAAAGGCGACGCACCCACTCTCGGGGCAATGGCGGCTTCGTGGGGACTGGAGCCCGGCTATCTCACCAAGCTCACTGAGAAGGCGTTGAGTCACCTCATCGTGACCGCTCGCTTACTCAGCGGATGAGCTGGCATCTTGACGATCTTCGTTCTCTTATGAGCCCGGAGTGGCAACTGTGTCACGGATGAGTCAGGTTAAAACTCGTCCGTCATCCTTTTGCGTTGCTTTTGTTTGATCTTGTGCTTGGTTGTGCTTGCATTGCCTTGTGCGTGATTGTCTGTGCAGCTTGCATCCATGTCGCCGCCTTATGGTAGATTTCATTGGTTGCATTAACCCCATGTTGGCTGAGCTTCGCCACTGCGGAATCTATGATGATGTTGCACAATGGCAGTCTCTGGAAGACTTTTTACACTCGTTGACCTTGTTCTCCACGTGCTGGCAATACTGCTTCCCTGGACTACCACCACCGTCGATACCAGCTGATGAGTACGAATCAATCACACAACTACCGTGGTTGGGCCTCATTCTGGAAGTCTTAGTTGTGGTCCGGATTGCCCTTCAGATTCCGAATTCCGCTATGTCACAATCTCAACACACTGTGGCCAACAGGTATGAGCTTCACAGATGTCGGTGCACTGCTTATTTATTGATCAGTTTCTTGCAACGTCTCATTACCCAAGAACATGGCTACATTCCGCCGTTCTTTGAGGTCCTTCACTTCTACAAGACCTCTATCTTGTGTGAAATTATGCACTCCACTTTTCCGACACGCGACATCTTCGCTCATTGCGGGCACGGTTTCCGGACCTCTATGACTTCATTCAAGATCCAGGCCATCATCAACAACCTTGCGTCTACATCCGACTTTCCCCATGGCACACACCTTACTACGTGGGTGCGACTGATCAGGATGTTCTACGACGTGAACATACACGCAGTCGCAAGTTTCTACAACTACTTCGGGGACGTCATGCCTTCTTCGAACCCGCGCTCCACTACTGGAGGCGATCCAATACTTACTGGCTTTTCTGTGCTATTCCGGTCGAGATCAAACTTCCCGTTTCCTCGGTTTGGGTCCAGGAAAGCAAGTGGCAATACTTGCTACGCCCACATCTGAATGCACCCTGGGTACACAGACTTCTACGAAAGGTGGGCTTCCGGGAACATCTCGTTGATTTTCGACGTCATTCGTTGTCGTCTCCCACCTCCCTCGGTTTGCACAAACGTTTTAGAAGACGACTACATCCAGATCACCAACGGCAACTACGACCCGACATGCTGGATGACATTCAGGCCCATTACTCCATTCTCTACCAGCTGGGATCCAATACAGGCGCATCGTTCCAAGTTATGCGTGACCTTCTGTCGGCAGCTTTCCCTCCTACTCAACTTTACTACTTTCTGCGGCTCTCCGTCTTTGTCAACGGGCCCTTTCGCTCTAAGGCACAGAAACTCCTCGCCCAGGTGCTGCGCAAACGACAGCTACATTCACCCACTACTTTGACACAACTACTTCTACCGCCTCTACATGTCCGGAATTGGAAAGCTCAACTTGGCACATGGTTGCAAGGCTGGATTGCTTCTCATCGAGATTTGTTTCCCTCCCTTTTCCTCCCAAAGATCCGGGTGGTGGAAACTCGCAGTGCCACATTGGGCGACAAAATCTACAACTACCGTACATGGCAGCGCAGATGGACTCCTGAAGCCTCCTTCCCGTGTCGCTGTTTGGACATCGATGATCACCATATACACCGAGCACATGGACATGCTGTAATTATTGATGAGTTTTCACGCATCAACGCGGACATTGACATAGAAATCATGGCCGCGTCGATGAAGGATCAGTATTTCGGTGATGCCGACTTGTTACATCAACGTTTCACTACGCAACTTCGCAAACTAGCTCGTCGGTGGCATGTACAAGGTTCCAGTCTTCTTGTCGATCTACAGCCGGTTTTGACCCAATTGATGGACATTCATCGATCTAACCTTCAAGATCGTTTTTATTGGTCATCGACATCATTGCAGCACACCGTGGCTTCTCTGTCATCATGGGTTGTAATTCCAGCAGATCATTTCCCATCTCGTGCACATGTGATTTGTCCGTCCCTGTTCGCCATACTGGCTCGGGGGACGTCTTTTCGCTATGCCGTGAATCTGCAGCCTCCTTCCGATCTGAAGTGGTGACTACGGTACCATCCCTCCTACGTCGGCGGTATGCATGGGGACTTCGACTTCAAGCACCGTTGCCCACAGCTCGCATCCTCCCAAAGCCGACCAAGGACTGGCAGAAAGCACGACCCATCATTTCATTCTTTCGCACGTGGGCAGCTCCCTTCCTCACGGTCTTCGGCGCCCTCATATTTGAACTTACCAAAGCTACTTTTCCCGACATTGCAGGTCAACTTTCAGTCCAAGAACTTGTCCAGCAGCTATGGGAGTCGCTGTCAAAGGCTGCTCCCGATGAATACATCCACCTAGTGTCTCATGACCTGTCAGGCTTCTTCACGTCAATCCCCACGGAACGCTTCCACCAGGCACTACAGGTACTTCTCCATCGGTACGATCAAGTTGTTGGCCTTCGCGGATCCTCTCAATGGTCAGTGTACGAAGTAAAGTCTGATCATCGACGCCGTATGTTCAAGGGCAAATGGCGCCGTCAGACAAAGGTCCC